CATTACATTATGACCACCCTGCTAATAACATGTAGGACCACCTTTAGCCCTCAAAACTGCTAGCACCCGCCGTGGCATTGATTCCACAAGGTGCTGATAGGTATTCTGAGGTATCTGGTACCAGGCGCTCACCAACTGGTCCTACAATTGCCTCACATTGCGAGGGGGTAGCGTGGCAGCACGAATTTAGTTTTCCAAGTAGGACCACAAATGCTCTATTGGATTAAGGTCAGGTGAATTTGGGGGCCAAGACATGACGAATGGGTGAGCCTGGTCTGCAGACGTCAGGGATTGTTCTATGAGGATGATGGGTCCTAATGTGCCCCATGAAAACATTGTTCCTGGACGAGAAACCATGAAAACCTGGGCGAGCCCATTGCTACAAATGGTGGGTGGTCATAATGTAATGGCAATCAATCGTAATTTTTTATTATATTAGAATTTAAAACAAATATAACTTTTAAATAAAAAGTCCCATCGACTTGGATTTGGTCTTCACCTTTTTAGTCTTTTTTTATCTGCATGTTTGTAACTACTATAACAATTTTTCCTATGAAATATTTTAAAGTAAAACTAAATTTTCTTTTATCCATCTTTATGCAAAATAAAATTTATTCCAATATGTTTTTTTCCTTCTTTTTTTTCAGTTTCAACCATTATCAACATCACTAGTGGTTTGATTACTTCTACAAATTAAAATGTTTGTGAATATAATCGATGATTTCTTAATTATTAATTAAGTAATACTTAACTTTATGCTCTTATTTCTTCCTGATTTTTATTTGTTTATTTATCTTCAAATTTTGTAGTAACTGTTAGAAAATATGACTCAAAAGACCAGGTATGAGAGGTATAAGTAATTGGTAATTCCATACTTTTTATACGCAAGCAAGTATATTAAAAGTTTTTAACCACTTTATACTTAACAAAAAAAAATTAAGTCTTTTTATTTTTCCAAATTACAAGACTTAGACATTAAGATATATATATATATATATTTTATAGATACATGAATAACTAGTTACTTGAATATAGTTACATGAATAACTTAATTTTATTCAATATTCGTATGATATTTGGAGTAAATTTTCTGCAATCGAAATATGATGTTACACCAGATAATTAAACATATTAATCTCTATGAAATTAGATTACACTGCATTGAAGTTCAACCTGCACAAAAGCATGGTTAGATTTAGAATATTTTCTCGGTAAAATGAGCTAATGACCCAATGTTAACATCGAACACATTTTTCTGTGAGTGCAGATGCTAAAAATATTTTTAGTCTTTTAAAAAGCACAAAATTACATTTTTAAAGTGACGCCTTAAAAAAAATTACATTTCTAATTGCTTTTGCAAATAACTTGAATACTCGTTTTTGAACACATCGTTACATGAACACATCGTTTGTAAGTACATATTAACATGAATATCTTTAATATTAAAAGATTAATTTAACTCTTAATTAGAAAAAAAGATGAAATAAAATTAATCTATAATGAGAGCAGAAATTACTTATGCGTCAAATGACCGAGTAAAAAATAACACTTTCAGATCAATAAAAATCCAACTGTTTCTAAACTTAGAAATTAAAAAAAAGCCACACAAGTATTGAAGCATTTAACAATTAACTGTGAAATGGTTACTACTTTACGAGTGCAAATGATTGCTAACTTAATGATCAATAATGTTTTATTTTTTCAAGCACAAATAAAGGTTATATAATACTAACAAATTTTTTTTTAATGCAAAGCAATAAATAGCGTGATATTTACTAATACCTTTAAGAAAAATTTCATTCCTAGTCAACGAATAATAGTTATCCAGATACTTTTTATTCTGAATAAATTCACCAAAAATAAGACATTGTAACATCGCTGACAAATCAAAACTTTCCCCATCATGGAAAAAAAAACATACATTGTCGTTTTGAACTTTTACTTAGTGTAAGCATCGGTAATAAACTTAATTTAAAGTAATACAAAAAAAATTGATTTGTGTTACATTTGTGAAAAGAAAACTGACTTATTTACTATAATACTTAAATTGATAACAAGTTTTGAACAACGAATTAGTACAGACATAAAATTTTGTTTTATTTGATTAGTTATACCTATAATTTTCTTTTCCTTGAATTAGCAAAGGCATAAAATTAAATCTGCCCGATTAGAAATGAACTTTCCTCCAAATATTTTGATCTGCTTTATTTGGCATTTTAGATATTAGTGTTTACTACTTAGACAAACAAAAATGACCACGACCTTTACAATTAGGCAACATGATGATCAATCACTGGTCACTTTGGCCTAATGCGTAGATCCCATGACGTGACCAGTCCACGTTCTTTGGTCGCGAAGTCCATTAGCGGTACAGGAAGTGGTGACAATTGCAGTTGGACACGTGCGCCAGCGTCCACTGGGGACATTAATGGAATTGCAAGCAGAAACGCGTAATGCAATTGTCGGTAATCATTGTATTAGTGGTCTGGCAGATCGTTCGTTTTACCTTCACCTGTGCAAGGAAGAAAAAAAGTATGTTTAGGTCATCTTGCTGTACCAATCCTGACATGTTGATTGAGTGATGGACTTTCACGTTTTCTACGTCAGTTGGATTTAAGAAAGAAATGCGAAAACTTTTCCCATTTTTTTTTTTTTTTTTGAGATATACTGCCTAAAACCAGTATTTATAGAGTCATTTCTTTGTTTTTTAGATACTTTGTTAATAAATAATGAATTGACCGCCATTTCTTTATTTTTTTACATACATTCTTAATAAATAATGAATTGATAGTGATTTCCTTACTTCTTTCAGATACATTGTTGATAAATAATAAATTGACCGTCATTTCTTTATTTTTTTAGATACTTTGTTAATAAATAATAAATTGACCGTCATTTCTTTATTTTTGTTAGATACATTGTTAATAAATAATAAAATGACAGTCATTTCTTAATTTCGTTTCATATATTATAAAGAGGCATTTCTTTATTTCTTTAGTTACGTTGTTCATGAAGAGTAATTAGTCATTTATTTAATTCTTCAGATGTATTGTTTATAAAAACTAATTAGAGAGTCATTTTGGGGGGGGGGGTTCATTGCTATAAAGAGCATTTAGATAATTTCATTTTCACTTTTCATATATTGTTTATAAAGAGTATTAGAAAGTCATTTATTTATGTTTTCCGTGACATTGCTTATAGAGAGTAATATCCTTATTTTTAAATACATTATTTATAAAGGATAAATAGAGAATCATTTCTTTATTTCCCTATATACATTGTTTATAAAGAGAAATTAGAGAGTCATTTCTTTATTTCATTATATATATTGTTTATTAAGAATAATAACATGACTTTTTATATCATTTTAAGATCAATATTAAAAGTAGTGAAAAAGTTACTGTATTCCCCCATTAAATGCCAAGATATAGGCCAGGTAGAATAAATCTGTAATCTGTTTAAAATTCAACTCCGTAGCCTTGTTATCCTGAATCTAATCCTGAAGACAATGGAATTCATGGATCAAG